TTTACAAGCGAACTGACCTCTAAGAGATGTTGATATCAAATACCAGTGCCATTTGTGTTACAGCGTCCCTTCACATTTTGCATTTTTTAATGTTTACAAAGTTTTAACTATTTGAAAATTATAAATTGATAGTTTAAATGCTCTGTTGAGTACAGAAATACAAAAACAAGACAACCTTGATGTGACAATAAGGATTCTAAAGCAACTTTTGACGGAGTCAGTAGAGCACTGAAATGTAACTGAAATATATAATAAAACTTGTGTATTTCTGAATCGGAAACTGATAAAATCAGTTCATGGTTTTGTGTTTACCATGATGGGTTTACCATCCTGTAAAAACATAGAGATATCCTACTTTGCTGGCTGTGTTTGGACAACACCAGGAGTACTATAGACAAGTGTAAGAAATCTGGAAAAACAAAAAAACAATCAAAAATACGGCTTTTCAAAAGTTATTAGTTGTTTTTTTAAATCTCACCTCACATTTCTGTATCTATTAATGAATTTAAATGACTTGTGACTAAAGACTAAGGATTTATCATAATAAAGAAAACATCTTTGAATGAATGAATGAATTGAGAACTGAGAACATCAAAATTTTACCGTTTATTCTCCCAAAGCGCAACATGGTTACATGAAATTACACATTTTGCTCCTTTTTTTTATTTACAAGATACAGAAGCTACAATATCACATCTTAGCATAGATGCCATGATGGATATGTAGCCAGTAAGAATATAGTACATGGTACTATCTCGTTTTTCATGCTTCACTTGTATGTGGTAGATAATGTTTCTAGTATTCTAGTTTTAATCTTTTTTAAGATCTCAGTCATCTATGCAAACCTTTGAATATTTAAATAATGACACCTTTGCATGTAATCAAGCCCATCACAAAGACTTACCATAGCTGGTGTAGTTCTCTTGGAGGCGGTCTGAGCCTGGAGCTGGTTTAAACCTTTAAATCTCATGTTTTTTTTCCCATAGGGGCGATCAATGAGATGGCGACCCACCCTGGCTACTACGAAGACCTGGTGGAGAAGTCGATGGGCAAATACAACCTGGCAACAGAGGAGATAGAGAGGGACCTGCACCGCTCTCTCCCCGAGCACCCGGCCTTTCAGAATGAGATGGGCATCGCCGCCCTTCGCAGGGTCCTCACAGCCTACGCATTCAGAAACCCCAACATTGGATACTGTCAGGTAAACACACTCTTGATTTGAAATGGCAGAAACCTTGTAGTCCTTGACAGTACTAGAATTGTTACTCTTCTCTCCCTCAACACCTCAGGCTATGAATATTGTAACATCTGTGTTGCTGCTCTACTCCAAAGAAGAGGAGGCTTTTTGGCTGCTTGTGGCGCTTTGTGAGAGGATGCTGCCTGACTACTACAACACTAGAGTTGTAGGTCAGTATGTCCATGTGCCTCTCTCTCTATCTCTGTTTTATTGACCATTTTCGATTTGTTGAGCACCTCTCTTTTTCCCTCCTCTCCCCTCCCCAGGAGCCTTAGTCGATCAGGGGGTGTTCGAGGAGCTCGCCCGCGAGTACGTTCCTCAGCTGTACAACTGCATGCAGGACCTTGGGGTCATCTCCACTATCTCGCTCTCCTGGTTCCTCACCCTCTTCCTGTCTGTCATGCCGTTTGAGAGCGCAGTGGTGGTGGTGGACTGCTTCTTCTTCGACGGCATCAAGGTCATCTTTCAGCTGGCACTCTCCGTGCTGCACGCCAACATCCACCAGCTGCTGGGCTGCAAGGATGATGGAGAGGCCATGACCGTACTGGGCAGGTAAGGGGAGTCAAAAGGGACGACCATTTATCAAATATTTTTATCCCACAAGCCTGAAAGAGTTTGTGATTATTTTGGTAAATCATTTGTTTACTGTAGATACTTGGATAGTGTGACCAATAAGGACAGCACCCTCCCCCCGATCCCCCACCTGCACTCCTTACTGACAGACAATGGAGAACCACATCCAGAAGTCGACATCTTCAAACTGGTCCGCAGCTCCTACGAGGTATTTAACCTGGATGATAATGACTGTTTGTATACCCGTGATGTCCTCTATCTTTAGTCTTCCTTTGGTTCTTACATGCAGGGAAAAACTCTGATATTCATTAAGTGCATCCCAAGGGGATTTTGTACATTTTAGTTGGATTTATTCATTTATGGATTTATGATATGAGTGTGTTAATTGTTAAGTCCTGCTGTTTGTCCGCTGTAAAGTCCAGCTCTTTCCTTACAATCATGCATTTTCACTGTGACAACAGACTTTGAGTAATATCACAGCGGGGTTGACCTATATTTCTCTCTGTTTCTCTCTGCTTCTCCTTTTGTGCCAGAAATTTGGTTCAATCCGTGCAGATGTGATTGAACAGATGCGTTTCAAACAGAGACTGAGGGTCATCCAAACCATTGAAGATACAACTAAACGCAATGTGGTAAGGACCGACTGACTTACCCTTACTGGAATTAGGCAAACATGTGTGCTAAGACATGACTTAATTGTTTTTCAACTTTATTTACCAGACTGTTCTTGCTCAACCCTGTCGTGCAGATACAGGAATCATTAGATTAAATTATTATTAGATCATCTGCGCTCTCATCACACTTTATTCTCTCTTTCTTTTATTTTTACCTAATGTACTGTAATTATATTGTGTTTCAGGTCAGAACTATTGTTACAGAGACGGCGTTCAGTATGGACGAGTTGGAGGAGCTCTATGTGCTCTTCAAGGTGAGTTACAGCATACACGTGTCATTCAGCTCCCTCTAACTGCCACCTTGCTAAATGTGAAGTATAGACAGGAAATCAGTAATTTTGTCTCTACAGGAAAAAATAAATAATAGCCTAGGAGCCTTAACATTAGTGCTTCAGTTGTTTTCCTCTAGCATAGGCCGCAAGCCTATTCAAGCACGTGGTGAAGATTAATTTGCCACTTCATTAATGGCTTCATAATGACTGATTATTCGAGTGAAATTGTTTTCCAAACATACTGTCAAAGTATGTGTTGTATTCTGTCATGTTTGTCAAATACAATTCTGTTTGTTACTGATGGTTACGGTTTATTAGGAAAACCACATTTATCTTTAAAATGTGCCTCTTTAAATTCAGTAAAAAACAGCTCTGTCTCTTTATATTTAAATTGTATTGCTTTCCATTTGTATGATATTTTACAGTTCTCCCCCCCTTTCTTCCTCTCCTCAGACGGAGCACCTGACCAGCTGTTACTGGGGCGGCAGCAGCAACCCCACAGAGCGCCATGACCCCAGCCTGCCCTACCTGGAGCAGTACCGCATCGACGTGGAGCAGTTCAAAGGCCTGTTCAACCTGCTTTTCCCGTGGGCCAACGGAGCCCACTCAGACCCCCTGGCTGTGCGCTTCTTCCGTCTGCTTGACCAGAACGGAGATGCCCTCATCAACTTTCGAGAGTTCATCAGTGGCCTGGGTAAGAAGAGTATGGTTGTGCCTGTGTCCCTGTAAATATTCTTTGGAAGTAAAGGTTTATAACATAGCTGTGAAGTTGTGTGTTTTAAGCTGCCATGATTAAAGTTTAAGGTAGTATTTCATCCATGATGATGTATCACATTTGGAAACAGTTCAGACGTGTCCAATCTCTCAAACTTGTTGGTGTGTTCCAGGTGTTCTGTGTCACGGGGACCTTACTGACAAACTGAAGCTCCTCTACAAGATGCACGTTTTACCTGGTGAGTGTGCATCAGTGATCCTGGAAAGTCATCTACAGGGAACTACAGACAATATATCACTTCATGTCACAGGGCAAATCACTTTCTCAGAATTACCTTTGTATTACTTCACTGTTTTTAATGAGATAATTAACAGAAAACAAAACATTTTTAACTCATTGTATTTAACGTAATGAAAACTTTCATTAAACATAACATTTTAAATGTCATATAATTTTACCAGTTCGCATTGTTGGAAAGGTTTTTTGATTAATTGAAAATATACAATTATAAAAACTTTATTGTTGAAATTGAAAATTTGGATAAAATTGAACAGAATGACAAAGAATGGTTTACATAATGTTTTTGACAGACTCCTAAATTCTCTTCTCCCAGAAGTCACCCATGAACAGGAAGAGCCGGACTCTGCATTTGAGGCCACTCAGTACTTCTTTGAAGACATCACTCCAGAGACATCTATCGGTAAGGACCTAAGATCAGCTTTTTTCGTGATATTGTTAGGCCTTTTTTCCCACTTTTTATTCTGAACTTTTCATTGAGCCCAGCCAGATGATTGGTCACTTGTTGTGCAGTTATTCCTTGTTCTGTATGGTACATAAATGCTGCAATTTACAATATTAAGGACTTGAAAAAGACATCGTTATATTTGCATAAGTGAAATCTGTTTGGTGGTTACGGGCATGTCATGTGATTTAACAGGGGAAAGTGTGGTTGTATTTAGCTTGAAACCGCAGACATCGCGTGCAGCCTGCGTTGTGCACAATGACAGTGTTCAAAGCACAGGCACAGAAACACATTTGTGCACAAGTTTAATCATGCATGTAAGGCACAAGCCTGCAGGAGTAAGAAACTGCCTCAGAAAGCTGTTTTTTGGATAATTAAACTTAAATTAAACTAGTGTCATCCGTATTTTGTAGCAATTGGTGCTTGTGATCAAATCACACTACATTAGGCAGTAAAGAGTAAACTTACCATCAGCATGTAGTTTAGAAGCAAGAAAAATACAGTATATGTTTAATGTAATTGCATAATTTAACCACTTTAATTGAACAAATGTTCATGTTTGATCTTGGTCACGCTCTTCTCTCCTCAGGTCATGACTCAAAGTGCAGAAGCGAGAGGGATGATGGCTTTGTCAGAGTTACATTTAAGACTGAAAAAGGTAAGCAACAACATAATATATGGTTCCATTTGCCCTATAATGAGCAACACAATGTTTAATCTCATTTAAATTGCAAACCATTCTAGTGTGAAATTTTCCTTTAGTCTTGATTAGCAGCCAAGAAAATTCTTGTCGTCTATTTTTTATTTTTTCACTGACTGAATGCGATTGATCGTGGTGGTAAAGGGTCTTATTTCCTCTGGAACATCTGAAGAAACATGTGAATACAGAAAATATACATGGTGCTAGCACAAACAAGCTGTAGCTATTTGGCAAAATACTGAAGTCAATCCGTAGTTTGTATTTACCGCGGAAAAGATCTTGTCTTTAATCGCAATACAAAAACATGCAGACATTGGTTGCATCTTCGTGCTTTTTTTTTTTTAAACCAAAATATAAGTTTGTGACCAAATTACTTAATGTTAATAAAACATTCTATGTACATGTTACAGTGAAGAAACTGAACACTCCTGAATATCGCCATTACCTGAAACTGTGGAACCAGGAGACAAAACCTAAGAGAGAAAACACAAAAGACCTCCCCAAGCTGAATCAGGTAAGACTTCACCCTCTGCATTGGTTTTTATTTGTAGAACGTGTCTAAGAAACTCAGTAGTTACAATAGAGTACAACTGACATCTTACGTTTTATTTCCTCCTCCAGAGCCAGTTTATCGAACTTTGCAAGACCCTGTACAGCATGTTCAGTGAGGATGTTGCAGAACAGGAGCTCTATCATGCCACAGCAACAGTTACCAGTCTGCTGCTGGAAATGGGAGAGGTGGGAAAGCTTTTCTCCTCTGGCAGAAGGGACCACAACATGGAGGGTAAATCAGAGCCAAGCCTGCATTTAAGAGATGCCACCGATCCCCAAACTGCCGAGGAGGCCGTGTCTGATGGGATGTTCCAGCAGCAGGACCAGAGTGACGCCTTTGTTCCTGCATGTCTAGAGAACAAGCCATGCTCCTGTGAGGAGGGGAAAGAGGAGAGAGAGAGTGAGCAGCTGCCACCTATGCAAGACATCAAGCTGGAGGACTCGTCTCCCAAAGACGCGGGCACATCATCCGCCATGCTCATCTCGGATGATGAAACCAAAGATGACACCTCAATGTCATCTTACTCAGTGCTCAGCGCAGGCTCCCATGAGCTGGATGAAAAGCTGCAGTGCGAGGACATTGCAGACGACACGGTGCTGGTGCGCAGCGACAACGGCTCCAACGGTGAAAGAAGTAACCTGCCTCACGGCGTTGGACCCCACGACAGAGGGCTCCCTCACAGCACCAGCATTGATAAAGACTGGGCCATCACGTTTGAGCAGTTCCTGGCCTCTGTGCTCACCGAGCAGGCCCTGGTGCATTATTTTGAGAAGCCAGTGGAGGTGGCAGCTCGTATAACTAACGCCAAGAATGTGCGTAAGGTTGGGCGTCCCCTGCTGTCAACAAGTGACTATGAGATCTCGCTATCTGGCTGAGTCCCTTCATGGGAGGTTTCTCGCAAAGACTTTTGCTGTTTTAAAAGTGAAACACGGTTATCAGTCATTAAAAATATGTCCATGAGTTTTGGAGGAGAACGTAGGTAAATGTAAAATTTATGTGAATGATAGTTGAATGAATGTGACCAAAAACTGCTCTTGGCAATGTATTTTACCAGATGTGAGAGACTTTTATTATAACAATCATTAGATTCTGTCCAGCTAAGAGGGGAGCATCAATATTAAGGTTTGCTCAGATGAAATCAATGTGTACATGTAGTAGCTGTACTTTATAAGACATTATACATAGGTGTTGATATTGTAATCTCTACTCTTAGGCTATGTAGATGTAAATGTCCACAGATACAGTACAGTTCTATACTGGGATATTGATAGTCTGTGTATGATCACCTAACATTATATCTGGTCAAACTATTGCTTCCTTACTTTACAATTCCATTTGCTGTTAATCACGAAATCATCGAATGACAATATGGAAAAATACAAAACAAAGCTGTGAAAATTCAATGATAAAGTGAATTTTCATGTATTATTTTGTAAACTCTCTTTAGCTCCACATCTCAACAATGTGTCACTTTGGCAGAAACTATTCACTTTTTCCGCACACATATATACCTACGACTTCCTAGACATTCACTCCCCAAAATAATGTTCCCCCATAATTGCTCCAATGTAGTTTTCTCCAGTTATTTTTGGGTAATCGCAAACAACTTATGTAATAACGACGATGGAAAAAATGACACAACTACATTTCTTTTTACTCACACCTGATGGTTAAGGGATTCAAAGGAAGCTATGTGTGCTAAGACATGATTATTACACTAAAAATGCTGTTGAATGAAGAGCCTGCACTGTCTATACGTTTACAACATAATGTGATCCACTAACATGTATTTGCTTGCCATCTGCATAGCTATTGTTGTCTGCTCTCAAACTAAAACGTTTGCCTTTTCTTTTTTTTTTTTTATACATGCTTTAACCTTTTTTGCTCTGTACATTTTTGACATTGCTTTTTTTTTTTTAAAGTTGTTTTTATGTGAATAATTATTATTTTAAATGTCCAGATGTTATTACTCTGGATCCTGATGTATTGTTTATCACTCCATTTAATTAAAATTACAGTATGATTAGATGCTGCACAGTACAACGCCTCAAGCCTTTTTCATTGACTTAATCAGAGTGCCACTATATGACCAAAGACACTTTAGTCTTGTATAATCATTCATTTCCTTGAAGAAACAATTTTGACTAGTTTAATTACACCTGTTAGTTACAAAACCTAAAATTTGTGCTTTACAGTACAGAATGGATTCACAGTGATGGAAGTTGGAGATGAGCTTTCTTTCATACTGGCACACACGTTTTAAGTGCCAGTGATGGAGTAACTAAGTGCATTTTTAAGGCACTTGGACTTTATTTATACGCCACAAAATTTCAGGGGAAGAGAAATATATACATACATACCATATGATTTTTACAAAATATGATTTATTTTTATAGATTAAACTACCCAGTAAAATAGTTCAAATTGTATCCACCTCAACCAGCTACAGTATTAAAATGCTGCTTACGTATTGATGCATTAGTAGCAAAAATGTATTGATATAACACGATCAAGGGCAATTTTGCACATTTACTTTTGATAAATCAGTACATTTTGCTGGTAATTCTCCTACATTTAAGTAAAAGCTTAATGCAGGACTTTCACTTGTAACAAGAGTATTATTACTTTTAAAGGATCTGAAAACTTCTTCCACCACTAATTACACAGCAGCATGTTCATTGTCCAGGTGCTGAGTCCAAAAAACACCTTTAAATGATTAATCTATTTAGTTAGATGAGGATAGAAGATAGATTGCTTATATCTGGGGTCCACCAGGTCATCTCACTCCTTGCTGTCCAGAAATGATAAAATCATTGAAGCTCAAAGCTCAACTGAAAAGGTCTGGTGTGAGATTTCATCATGTCTAACAAATATGGCAAAGTTTTGATTTCTAATAGTTATTTATTACATCTTTGGGGAGAAGAACATGATGACATCCATTCATGTGAAAATAAGGAGCCAGAGAGCCTTTTGTTCTTGTCTATGTTGTGCTTTGCAACCAAAATCCTTTTTTATTATTATGTTGTTTTAGTTATCATTATAGTTGTCCCTAAATCAAACTTTCCCATGATTTCCATACTGTTTGAGAAGCTACATAGGTTGACTTTTGAAATCCAGCTGACCATGTGGATTTCCTTGATTTGCATTTTCAGGCTCCTATTGACATACAGCTGGGAAAGAAGTTTGGCTTGCTTAGTCAGTGTTCTGAGCTGTGTTTCACTCTTTCCTTGTTTTGTTGCTTTTATATCTTTTATTGATTTTTTAAAAACAATTATTTACCCTGCTTTCCGCAAGGCAAGTCAGGTAAGACCGCCCAGGAGATGTCTAAGCCTATAAAAAAAAACTGTACTTGTTCAAATGCACAAGTTCACGTTTACAGAAAACTGATGAAATTTGATGTGAATGAAACAATGTCAAAATTCTATTTCCATCATAAATGCAATAAATGGCAACAGTGGTCTTGTATTTTGGCAGACAAGTCCAGTAGATGGCCTTAATAGTTAGTGCTGGTATTATCTGTAGCACTTTCTAACTTAATAAATGTCTCATTGACTCACACAAGGTTGATAAGGCCCAGCATGCCCATTCCTCTGAAGTCAGTCTTGGGGTCATCTCCTTGGAATCCAATGTCTCCCCACTGTTTGGTTATCCTGGACTCCAGTTTGATTGTTGGCATCAACAGGTCCCACAGCTGAGAGTACAAATAATTCTACGGTTACACATTTGAATTGCCACTGTACTGAGTTACAGTTTCAATGATGCCAAATGATAATGCTCGTAACATTTTGGTTTCATAATCAATACTTTCTATACTCTAATTTAATCAATGGTATTTTATTGTGTCTGACTCGATTTAATTAAAAAAAAAAAAACATGGAGGTATGTATTCTTTGGACATACAGTATCTGACAAAAGTGTGTACACCCCTCACATTTTCGTAAATATTTGATTACATCTTTTCATGTGACAACACTGAGGAAATGACACTTTGCTGCCATGTAAAGTAGTGAGTGTACAGCTTGTATAACAGAGTAAATTTGGTGTCCCCTCAAAATAACACATCACACAGCCATTAATGTTTAAACCGCTGGCAACAAAAGTGAGTAGACCCCTAAGTGAAAATGTCCTAATTGGGCCCAATTTCCCTCCCCGGTGTCATGTGACTCGTTAGTGTTACAAGGTCTCAAGTGTGAATGGGAAGCAGGTGTGTTAAAGTTGTTATCGCTCTCACATTCCCTCATACTGGTCACTGGAAGTTCAACATGGCACCTCATGGCAAAGAAATCTCAAGATCTGAAAAAAAGAATTGTTGCTCTACATCAGGGGTCGGCAACCTTTTCTGTCATGAGTGTCAATATACAAAGATGAAGACATCCAATTTGCCAGCAGTGTTTCTTAATGCACATGTCATTTATTTTTAATTTATGCACAAATAAACTTATTTGGTTCAGATTGTGTCAAGCATGTGTGGCAGCAACCAGGTGAGGAGTACAAAGACAAGTGTTTCTTGTCTATAGTGAAGCATTATGTTCGGAGTTTCATGGTCTGGGGCTGCATGAGTGCTGCCGGCACTGGGGAGCTACAGTTCATTGAGGGAACCATGAATGCCAACATGTACTGTGACATACTGAGGCAGAGCATGATCCCCTCCCTTAGAAGACTGGGCCGCAGGGCAGTATTCAAACATGATAACAGCCCCAAACACACCTCCAAGACGACCACTACATTGTTAAAGAAGCTGAGGGTAAAGATGATGGACTGGCCAAGCATGTCTTCAGACCTAAACCCTATTGAGCATCTGTGGGGCATCTTCAAAAAGAAGGGGGAGGAGCGCAAGGTCTTTAACCTCCACCAACTCCGTGATGTCGTCATGAAGGAGTGGAAGAGGAATCCAGTCGCAACCTGTGAAGCTCTGGTGAACTCCATGCCCAAGAGGGTTAAGGCAGTGCTGGAAAATATTGGTGACCACACAAAATATTCACACTTCGGGCCCAATTTGGGCATTTTCACTTAGGGGTGTACTCACATGTTGCCATTTTGCTATTTATACTCACATTTGTGAGTTGAAGGCGATACTCAAGTGGGATGAGAAGCAGAGAATAACTCCCAGAGAAATACTTGCCCATCCCTTCATTACCATGAGCTACATCAGCAGCGCCTGGGGTGTGTGTGTGTGTGTGTGTGTGTGTGTGTGTGTGTGCGTGTGCGTGTGCGCGTGCGCGTGTGTGTGTGCACGCGCGTGAATGAGTGAGAGAATGAACACGTTGTCTTAAACTTTTGCATGCCATGGTGGGAATCCCATTTACTCCCATGAAAAGGCAGGCTAACACCAGGAAAGACACCATTATGAGGACCTATGGAGATGATGAGTGTCATCGCAAATTGGGTAAGATAATTTCAGACTTCCACTAAATCAATGCTAGTGGCTGGCTTTATCATCACTGACATGGAGTAATTTGTAAAAAATATTAATTTATTTTATACAGAAAATGCAGGATGTCTGTGGGAAAATATCTATTGTGCTTGTGATTAACTATATGTGTCTTCACAGCACATGTGGCACACACAGGCTGACATGCAGGCAGACTGCAGCAGCAGTCATGGTAACTCTGCTCCTCCACAGAACAGAACTCTGCTGGAAGACACATCTGGTGAGGACTCTGTCAGTGAAAGTGATTTCTACATCTGAGGACTCCAACTCTACCCCTGTTGCTGCACCTGCCACTGTTCTGTAGGACAACAGCCACCTGGACAACACAGATGACAGCGAGTCCAACTGGAAGTAGAACTGCATTAGATGCTTCTCTTGATGAAGAGGAAAGTTTGGTCTTGCTGCAATGTGGACAACATTGCAGAGTGAAGATCAGGTCTATGAGTATTTTGTAGCAAAACACCTGAGAACCTGCTTTCAAGAGTTTAGCTGTAAAGCCTTTGTAGATCTCTATGAGGGCAGCAAGGTGGCTCAGTGTGTAGCACTGTGGCCTCACAGCAGAAGTCGAGGCACTTGTCTTTTCTGGGTGGAATCTACATATTCTCCCCATGTTAGCATGGGATTTCTCTGGGTGCTTCCAGTTTTAATCTACGCAGCATTCGATCCAGTCACATTAGTTTAGTACTGATTCAAGATAGAAATACCATTACATTAAAGGTTAAGTGTGCAAGATTTAGTTTCATCTAGCGGTGAGGTTGCAAATTGCAAACTGTCCAGTCTACCAATCCTCTCAGTCATGACAGCAACAGTTACTCACATAATGACTCTCTTTAATGGTTTTGCCTGCAAAATAATCCATAAGCGCGAGAACATTTTTTTTCAGCAATGCTTTATAAAGAAACGTCAGAAAACGGTATTCCCCCAAATTTCTTCTACCTGGAGATACTGGGGAAATGAAAAAGCGTCCGTACTTTGACGGATGCAGATCAAACAGCAGCACACACACACTGCAGCACGTGCTATATTGTGAGACAGTCGCTTCATAAAACTTTTCCTAACATGGGATCAAACATACAACCTTCTAGGTGAGAGCCCTGCCCTTTAACAACTGAGCTAACTGAACATCTTGACAAACACCTTACATTTTATGTCATATTTTCACCCACCATCTAATGGATGAAAAAATTGCTCTGATGCAAAACTTATTTGCTGACCCCTGCCGATTATTACTACTTCTTCAAACGTACATATTCAACATAATGATGGGCATCTACACTGCCAGAATTCTACAAGAACGACGTGGTGACAAAAGGCGCACTGTAGCACAGTTTGTCCATTTTTAGCTACTGTAGAAACATGACTGTAACATGGCGACGTCTATGGAAGGGGGGACCCGTGGTTATGTCGATAGAAATAGCTCATTCCAAGGTAATAGGAACATGATTCATTATGTAAGGTCTTTATACACCACTGAAAACATAGTTATGGATCTTATATTGCATTTCTGTCAATAGATCCTTAAAAACATACACTGGACCTTTAACATTTTAGAAGTGGGTTAATTGACTGCATATTCTCTGGAAACAACATGAATTTTGTTTATGGTATGAACAGACAAATGTTGGGCTAATTCTGTTTAGAGTTTTGAAAATGTGACTACAGATTAGACAAAAGGATGTTAGCAGTTGCAAAAAACTGTAAAAGCTGATGCTTTGACAGATATATGCAAATGATTATGTACAATTGTCTGCCGTTTCCTGCATTATTGATGTGTGTGTGTGTGTCACTGTATGATTATAGTGTGAAGAAATAACTTCATTACTTATTGTCAATACATTTTATTCATAATAATTGCTGTTTATATTTTAAATGTACAATAAAGATAATTATAAAATTTGTGTATGTATTCATTAAATTTAAAGAAAATATGGACCAGTGTGTCGCTGTAGAAATACAATTTCTATGTAAAATACAGTATTTTGATGTAATTCACATCCTGTAAATTTACAGGAATTTACTGGCTACTGAGTTGCGGTAATAATACAGTAAAAATGGTAAATTACAAGTAATTACTGTGATTAGTGTGCAGGACCATACTGTAATTTGGCAATAAAATAGTGTAATTTTAAAGTAATTTCATGGTTGGTTACTGTGAAAACACTGTTAATCACTGTAAAATTAAATTGTTGTAAATTTACAGTAACTGATTATTATTATGATATCATGTTGCAATTTTACAGTACTGTTGTGACTGGTTACTGTAGAATCACAATACATTACTGTAAAATAATCACTGTATAGTACTGTGAATTTACTGCAATTATTAACCAGTAATTTACTGTAAAATTACGATGATATATTTTACAGTGTAGTTTTGCAAATATTAAGGATGAGTCAAGAAATGTACCAAAGCGACTGATAAAAAACAAAATAGTAATAACATACTGTGACTTTATTGACTGTACTACATGATATGTAACAAGAATGAATCAGAAATGCAGACATTTGCTTCAATATCCTTTATTTTTTTCTATTTCACTGCATTCAGTAATTTACATGTGAAAAAAAAAGTTCCTGAAATTTCACTGCCGCAATACAGTTTTTACTCCGTTGTTTACACAGTAAAACTGGTATACCTGAGACACAATGTGAGACACAAACAGACAACCACATACCAATCCCCTGAACCAATTCTGCTGAAGTACAAGCACATATCCTGCTGCACACCCAGCTTGCAGTTTCACAGTAAAACCACGTTTAAAACACTACACACACACACACACACACACACACACACACACTTCTCTACGTACATAGACGTAAACATAAAATGTACATAAATATTCTGCTACGTTTTTCTACATATTTCAGTCAGGTTACTGCAAAAATGCAGGATATTTGCAACCATTCTGTTGTGAATGTGCTTTTAATTGTTTTGGACACAGTGTGTTAGCATTTGAAAAATGTGCTGCAAATGTATAGTAAATAGTTGCAAGTAGTAAGGTTTTCACATTTTCATTTACTTTTAGTGTGCTAGCAATCAGGACGGTAATCTAAACTGCATGTAAATGCTCCGTATATTTATAGCGCCTTTCTAGTCTTTGCGACCACTCAAGGCGCTTTTACACTACATCTGCATTCACCATCCACACATTCATACACTGGCAGAGCAGCTGCCAGGGGCAATTCCGGGTTCAGTATCTTGCCCAAGGACACCGACATGCAGCCTGGGGTTGGGGGATGGAACCGCCGACCTTTCG